TGGTGGGGGCGGGCGCTCCCCTCAGCAGGCTCCGCCGCCCCTCGGCCCTGCTCGGCGCCCAGCCCCGCAGTAAACCTCCCTAAATCTGGCGGTCCCCCTCCGCTTTTCGGAGGCCCCCGGCTGCCGCGGCCCCGGCCCGGCCGGTGTGAGGCGGAGCGGAGAGGTAGGGCGCCCCGCAGGCCCGGGCTGAGGCCTGTAGTGCCGGCTGGCAGTAGGCGGTTCGGGAGGGAAACCTACGGGGGGAGCGCTCACATCCACAGCTGTGCGATCGGGATGATGTTTTTCTGCAAGTGAAGTTAGGGGCAAACCAATTTGTGTGTAAAAATAGGTAGTGCGTAAGGGGGGTGGGCAGAATGGTTTAAGGAAAAACAAAAATACTTGGCAGAGCTGGGAATTACAGTATTACACGGTCGAGGGACTGGGCATCCAATATAAAAGCTTATGGGCATAGCTGTACTTCAGGCACTGCCTGACTAATGGGACAGCTAATTGGTACAGTGTATCATTGAAGTCAGGCATTTGGCAATACTCAAAAAAATTCATTAGGCCTTTATACATGTAACAAGAACAGGTAGGCTTGTAATTATAGTAATTTAAAACCAGAAGGGATATAAGCCCTTGTGCTTCGGCAGTACCAGTTAGTAGGAGTTATGTGCTCAGTTTGAAGTACACATCGTTTGGTGGGTGTCTGGTTGTGGAGGGGGAGGAAGAAGGGTACCCACAGGAGCAGAAACTAACCAGAGAAAAAAGTGGTACTTGGAACCAGTGTAATCACATCTCATGATCAGTCATGATTGTGCTGATGAGCAAGACAAAGTTTCCTTGGTTCACTTATATATCTACTGCTGTGGACACACGCTTTCTGAGCCAGGCGTTATCAATTCATGCTCAGGGTAAAGCTATTTCTGATAAGGTTAGTTTGCAACAAGGCCAATACAGTGTCTTCTTCACAGCTTCCTACATCCCTCGGTGTGTCTACTAATTTTCAGAAATGGGAAATGGTCCTTCTTTGAATGGTTAATATGCTATGAACAATATCACACGAATGATACGAATACGCTTGAACAATATCACAAATTAAGATATGGGAGTGAGAGACAAGCAGAAGTAGAAAACTACTTCTCATTGACTTGGTAACTCCTACCAGCTATACACACTGTAAGGTATAAAACTGAAGCTGTTCTCACCTCACTGAATTCAGTATTCAACAACATTTGTAATTCCTGCAGAAAGACATGTCAAAAAGGTCTGTGCGTGAAGGCAGAATCTGTTAAAACAGATTCTACACAGCCTATTGACAGGAGTTTAGAAAAGCGATGGGAGTGGCTTGGCATTGATATGGGAGGAGGAGGACCCCTCCTCCTCCTGCCGAAATAAGAGAGGAAGAAAATGCAACAAATCACTCAAGGAAGCTAAGGCTAAGTCTAAATCTAGACTTGCCTTTTTGAAGGCAGCTGCCGCACCTTATATGTTTACAAGGAGTGGGAGGGTGTCGACATCCAACAAACCCAAAGGCCCGTCCCAAAGACAGGTGCTTAGTCACGGTGCGAGTGTTGACTTGAAACGACCTCCTACTAAAACAAACTACAGGGTGTGCAAGCATGACTGTAAAACTGATTGCAACATTGATCCTGGTGTAGGAATTAAATGTTACAAAATGCAGCAGAAGACCTTATGGAAGGGTAAAACAATATTTATACAAAACAGATTTCAGTCACTCACAGTAATTTTCTCATACCACTGTACTCAGAAGCCCCAGAATGCGCTTGTCCAAATCATCAGGCCAGGATCACTTGTGCTATGACATGTTCAAGGAATGCCAGTTGTCAAGTTCTCACTACATCTCTTGAGTTCCCTTGGGTGGCAGCAAAGCAGTTTTCGTGCAGATTTTCTATGCCTTTTAGGAGTGAGTTAGTATGATGTGATTTTTTTGTCTCAGTCTTTTATTTCACCCTCTGTAAATTTTGGTCAAACACAGTGCCTGTTGTCTTTTTTCCTGCTGTAAAGAGGAATGGGCTATATGACTTACTGTAAACTTGTTGCCATCTTCCTGTTACCAGAACACAGGTCTTCTGCTGATAAGGCATTTCTGCCGCAGGCGTTTCAGAGCACGGGGCAGGGAGGGGGGAGGGGGGGCTTTTGGTCTTGATGTAAACGCTGCATTTGTCAGCGTTTACCAGTTTGATTGCTCTTATTTATGTCCACATATGTATCATTTTTGTAACCCTTGAGTTATTGATTCTGCTCCTGATGTCACACAGACATTTCCATACACAATTCAAACCAATCTTAATATTTCTCTTAAAAATCTCTGTGCTATTCTGGCAGCTGAGAATATCTTCACACTCCACTAAAACCCTTTCCATCTTATTCTTCATGGAAAGCCTGCTAAGCACATAATTGCTATTCCTCCTGCTCTGCAAGCCCAGGCTCTTTAGATAACGGTCTTTCAGCTGATGAATCAAGTAATGTATGTTAGTTATTCCTTTTATTGTCTCCTTTTAGGACCATTCACATTCAAAATCAAAGTAAATTAAGCTCTTTGACTTTGTAAGGTTGTTTAAATATGCACAGCAAATTTCTGTTTTCACACTGAGTGCCTGGGCCTGTTGTCACTTGCGCCAACAAGCAGGAAGAACCATGACACTCTGAAGAGTCCCTTAGCATTGCTTTACAGTTCATGATGCCATGCTATTAATCGAGTCAGTGTAACTATTTCTAAGTGCTGTTTTGTTAGAAGGGCAATCCAGCTCTTTCTCCACAAAGAATGACTTGACAGCAGGGCTTTTGTAGATTAACAGCAATTCCGGAACACGACCATGTGTAGCCACACGACAGAATTCTGCTAGTCATCATCCAAGGCAAGTTCAAGAAGTAACAGAACCAACTACAAGTCTGAACTGCCGGTAAAATGCCAGCAAGCTTATTATTAGACAAAGTACATGTTATATACTGCTTCCTTCACATTTTGTATCCAAAGCTGCCTATAAACGAAGAAGGAAGTTGTTGTAGTTGAAACTGCTGATAAAAGCAGTACTGCATCTTTTTCACTTATATATGAGGTGAAAAAAAAATCGTCCATATTCCAGAGGCCAGTTTGTTACCACTGTAGAGAATTTTTTAAGAGTGCATAATCAGTCTTCTAAGAAAATATTCTTTACTTCTTTCAAAAAAAAAACCCCAGAAATAAACAATATTAAACACCAGAAACTACAGTATCAGTAACATTATCTTTGTTTAAGACTCCTTGAGAGCTTGCGCTGGCAACTTGACAAAACCCATGAATTGGATATGAGTTTGCACACTAGTTATTTAAAAGAAACAATCCTTTCCAGAAATCTAATATTTGCTTAAACTTCTTTTATTTGATTGAACAGAATTCTCTGTTTGCTTCTGATCCTTACCATTTAAGTAGTGTTTGTATTGGCTCGAATACCCCCAAACACGATTGTGCTGAGCTATACACAGTAGTAGAAAAACAGCAAGTTTCAAAGAAAGATGTGAAGACAGCCATAGTGTTGGCACAGATGTGCACTGTAGGCAGAAGCCCATGTCAGCACTTTCCCCATTGTGAATGTGTTTCATTCAGGAATTTACCAAGTTCAGAATATGTTAGCACAGTCATTGTCAGTCATGTCTTTCAGGAACGTGCTATCTTAACTTTACCACCTCACAAGATTTTACCAGCCATCCTATTTTTTGCATTTGAATTTGCACCAATACAAATCGTCCCTGAGACCCAGAATCCAAACTAAATGAAAATGAGAATAGCAAAATATGGACACTTGCAGAAGCCTCTTAGGCAAGAAAGAAAGTAAAAGATTTAATAAGATACTTATTATCATGTATACAAAAAATAATATTTGGGTCAATTTGCAGTGATTTGCTTTAATCATCTTCCTTGTTACTGAGTGTATAGACAGCATCTGCTGCCCATTTCATTTTTTCCTGCAGACATCAGTATGACATCTCTTCTTGAGTTCCCCAAAATTTTCTTGATCTTTGGAAAATATTATAATACAGATTTGTGACATTTCTTTGCTTCCAACCCCAAACATCACAGACCAGCCCATAACTTAAGTTATGTTCATATGCACAATTTTGAACTTGTGTCCAAGGCCAGAAAGGAATCAACTTGTGAGAAGAAGTCAGGCCTACCTAGAAATCTCCATAAGCCTGTATGTTGATCAAAACTAACGTATACACAGGTATAAGGAACCTGGGAAGACTAGAGTGATACATTTTGTTTTAGCTTGCCACAAGTAGTCTGATTCCATAAAGTTCACATTCAGAAAAGCACACTTGTTCAGTTCAAGCTTCATTAGAGTCTACAGATTTTTTTTAAAAAGCTGAGAATTTTTTTTCACCTAATAATTCTCTGTACCCCAAAGATTTCCAGTGCTCCTTGACACAACAGATTTACCCTTCAAAGTTTTCCTACATCAGTGGGAATCCTGGCCGTTGTTTAAAGATGACTTTATTATGAAAAAGCAGCACTAAAATAAAATCATACAATACCAATATGATTTTTCTTCACTGTCTAAAGGTCTAGATAATTGTTTGGGGTGGTTTTTTTTTTTTTTTTTAAACAAATATTAGCCCTTAAAACTCAACTCGGGAGGCAAAAAGCAAGTTTAATCCCTTCCTTCTCAAGACAGGTTTGAGACCCAGCTAAAGTCAGTCATACCTATACTGTGGGTTTAGTGCATACCTATACTACTGTGTGGGTTTAGTGCAGTTGTGACTGACCTGTAATAATACTTACGTGTTGCAGCTGACCTGAAAGGTGGACAGTCATAAACATAGCTTAAGAGCTGAGAGTGCATTTGAAGGAGGAGCTTTCTTTTTTTTTTTTAATAACAACACTGTGTTATGTAATAATATTTCTTCAGAGTAGAACTTTAAATATAGACAATTCCATAAATACACTGTACATTCAGTTCAATTTATAGCCCAGTTTTGTTAAATTAGCCAGAGGAGATTTCCACTTCTGGACTGCCTAAAGAGGGTATTGGTTTCTTTCCTTTAGCAAAGATGTTTTTTAAATCCACTGTTGGACAGATTTGCAGACTTTTTAGAAAGTCACCACACTCGTTAAACAACACTTTTTAAACTCAAGCTGTATTTGGGTATAAGCATCGTAGCATAGTCCCAGAATACAATGAACCAGGGCTGCAAAGAGACTTTTCCTTCCTTTCCCTTCTGCCTGCTTCCTCAGCACTTCACATACACTTCCATATTGTTCCCCATGCTGCTGCTTACTAGCATTAAGACAGTAAAACAAGACTTAAAATCAGCTCCTCAGTCTCAGGCTGAATTTGGTTACAGTGCAGAACAGGGCCAGAACAAAGGGAAGAGGGCATAGTGGGGGTACAGAAGAAATGCAGGCTTACACAAATATCAACCTAGAACATCAGAGCCTAGCCATTCCCTGAGGTAGGATATCCACAATTAATAGATCCTGATGCTGTCATCTCTCCTATCTTCAAACCTTTAATCTGCATAATAGGGATCATATTACTCTTTTGGCTCACATTTTGCTGAAGCAAATCAATTTGTGCTTGTAAACCATCCAGGTAATAGAGCTTCACAGTAAATTGTGAAGATCTTATGACTAACAAGCTGAATTGCAGAATTCCTGCTCAGTCAAAGAGAATTTTGTTAGAATCTGGGAGTGAGAAATTTTTAGCAAGAATGCCGGGACTTAAGGTACTGGGAGTTCTACTAAAGATTTACTCATAGTTGATGTTTTGGCGTTGGATCGCTGAAGAATTTTGAAATTGAAGCTAAGCAAAATATGGAATTAAAAAAATAATAAAAGGCAGCACAGAAAGATGGAAAGGGGAGATACAATTTTGTATAGGATGAATATATGAGGAAAAGAGTTGAAAATATAATCTGTGTTGTGACGAAAACTGAGTAGGTTGAACCCTCGGGGACATCTTATGTCTTGCACAAGTTTCCATAAATTACATCAGCTTCCCAGCACATTGTGAGAGTGGTAGAACCTGACATTTTTTGCTATGCAGAGAAATTGTTTGCACCCTCTGAAGTAGAAAGCTAATGAGGTGGGTTTGATCTGCAGGCAAGATACTTCTCAGGTGAAGAGAAGAATTGGAGAAAAAGCAGAATTCAGCATACTGTTATTGTAAAGCTAACATGTCTTACAAGACTGTACAGTGGCTAGGGCACAGTGACATACTTGTCAAAGAAAGCAAAAGAAATCTTGTTTGTCATGTGGCATGAGTCAAACGGCAGCATTTCAGGATTCTAGTCCACATATAATGACAAGGCGAGGAGACCACTATCCTTCTGTTTAATAAGCTATTTCATCCAGTGTCACACCTTGTTTGGTATCCTGGTTGGGCAGGGTGTCAGGGGAGTTGCTGAGAAATACAGGGCTTTGGAAATTTGCTAGCTCAAGGTTACTTCTGAAAAGACGCAACACTGCTACTCCTAGATCCAACTGATTACTGACAAAAGTGAATCCATTTCTGGAAACACAAGTGTGTCCAGAAGAACTGAAACTGGTGTCAGTCATTTGGTAATTTATTGAGGAGAATGTTGGTCTTTATCTAGTCTCATTAAGGTTTCACTCACTCATTTTCAGTGCTAAATTGGTCAAACACTGAAGGATGGAAAAACATCTGACTCTGATCATATTTGTTGAGAAAGTTCCCCTCAGCCTATAACAAACAATCCAAGAGTTCCTCTTTAGTGGGTGCATTAAAAAATGAACTGATGAGTTCATTGGATCTGAAACGTGTGTACAATCCTGCTAAAAGATGTACTTATAAAGCAAACAGTCATCTTAGGTGTGGAGATGTAGCATACATAGACCACCCATTTATTTTCTATCCTTTAAATCCAGATTAGCACATTAAAAACTACATATGAGGAGGAAAATTGACTACAATTAAGAACCAAATAAGAAAGACCCAAATTTTACCAAATTTTCTTAATTAACATAAAACCCAAACTAACAAGATTAACAAAATAAATTGTTCAGATCTGAATTTTGATTGACAGTGCATCTAAAAATAAAGGCCTGACCTGCAGTTTGGCTGATATCACTTCCAAAGAAAGA